CCGGCCACCACTGCTAAGAGGATACAATCACTCAGTACTCTGGGGAGTGCCTGGGAAGGAAAGGGTGGGAAAAGTGCCCACAAACTAGCTTGGGAAGCAGACCAGGGAAAGCACAGCCTAACACAGCACAAACGTTCCATGGCAGCAGTCTTCATTCCTCAGACAGGAACCACCAACTGAAATAATAACCCTGACGTGCAGTGATGCCAGCTTGCCTCCACCTGAGCCAACCTGGGCTTTAACAATAGGGCTTCCTGCACCCTCAAGACATTCCCATGTGACACAGGCTTGGCAAACAGCAGGTATTAGTGAGAACAATGGGGTGGGGCTAAGAGGAAGCAGCCTCTGCTCTCCGCAATGGCTAATATTTACAAGGATAAAGGGCCATGGTGCATGCAACTTACGCTCAAATGGTTCAGAGGAAAGCACTGTGTGTGAGTACACAGATATGCACATACACACAGAGGCTGGGGGGATAAGGTAAATAAGATAAAATACCAACAGTAGAGAAGCCTTAGCAAAGGATATGCAGGTGCTCTTTGCACTCATTTTATTCTTGCAACTTTTCTGAGTTTGAAATTATTTCCAAATAAAAGGTTTCTTTTTGTCAAAAAAAAAAAAAAGTTAAATTCATTAGCTAGTGAAGGTAGAAAGTATATTACACCACTTTCCACCTAAAAAAAAGATGGACCTGTTAACCCAAAAGCCAAATCTACCAGTGGAGAAACTCAACAAAGTGTCACAGTACCAGGCTACAGAGGAAAGAACTCCCAACTCAGGAGGTTTTGCCAAGGCCAGGTGCAAACTCATCTCTCCAGCTCTTTCTGAGCTTCAGTCACTTTGTCTTGTGATGAAAATATGCACTCTCTCCCTATTCACCAAACCCCTGTGCTACTTCACATGAAAGAAAACTCTGGACTCTAGCCTGGGTGTGGTGGCTCACACCTGCAATCCTATAACTTTGGGAGGTCGAAGCAGGTGGATCACTTGAGCCCAGGAATTCAAGACCAGCCTACATGGCCAACATGGTGAAACCCTTTCTCTACTAAAAATACAAAATTAGCTGGGTGTGGTGGTGTGCACCTGTAATCAAAGTTACTCTGGAGGTTGACGCAGGAGAATTACTTGAACCCAGGAGGCAGAGATTACAGTGAGCTGAGATCCCACCACTGCACTCCAGCCTGAGTGACAGAGAAACTCTGTCTCAAAAAACAAACAAAAACTCTGGACTCCAGAGGCAAAGTTCTGTGTTCATTTCTCAGCTCCCTGAGATTTTATTAGCTCAGCACAGATGCCTCCTGGTTCCTGAAGGCAAAAGAGAAAGAACCCTAAGCTAGCAGCCAGCTCCACCTGGGTCTGAACCCACATTCTGGTGCACATCAGCTGTGTGACCTTAGACTTGCCTCTCCCAGATAGCTGTATCAGCAATAGAAGGAAGACAACCTTCTAGTCCTGTACTTCACCAAGGGGCCGGGCTGAGCACAAGCCCTGTACAGGACCAACAACCAGCAGGAAGGCACCAGGGTACACCACCACTCAGAAGGCAATTTTTTCTCAGCTATGTATTGTGGGTTCAACCTGGATAGAGCTGTGGCTCATGTTATGATTTTGTGTCAAAATTAAAGATAGAAAGAAAAACAGTTTTAGAATCAGCAATCGATGCTGCCTTCTCTACACAGATGGAGAAAGGGCCAATAAGACAGTATCACAATCAGTGGTCCCCAAGTCCCCCCACCATCTCGTTGTCAATTACCTCAGCAGTAGTCTCCAATCCCTCTTCCTCATCACATATCCAGTGATTATAACACACATTAGTGGTCATATGGTCAACCACAGAAGGGATCAGAAGGGATTTGTGGGGTAGGTGGTTCTGTTCCTCAGACTGGAGTATCCACAGGGAAAAAGATTCTGTACCCTCACCTAGAGGACCCCGGGACCCATCAGGGCACAGAGGTAGTCTGTCGCTCCACCTAGGGTTAAGAAAACTGTTCAGAGCATAAAGTGAGGTACTCCTATGGCTGGGCTGGAGACACACAGTTGGAGTGCACAGGGCCCCAGCCAGGGGTGCATGACTGGGGGAAGCCCAGACTCTTATAGTGAAATCTCATCTCAGCCACTCAGCTTTATGAGCACTCTGGATTTTAGCTTCCCCATGTTTAAATGAGGCTATAATAGCATCTAGCAGGGACCTCCTGAGAGTTAATACATGTTAGTGCTTAGAACAGTGTCTGGCACATAACACACCTTCAATCAAGTTCAAATGTGCATTAAAAAAAAAATTGGTATCCTCACATGATGGAAAAAGAAAGAAAAAAAAAATTGGGCCGGGCACGGTGCTTCAGGTCTGTAATTCTAGCACTTTGGTAGGCCAAGATGGGTGGACCACCTGAGGTCAGGAGTTTGTGACCATCCTGGCAAACACAGTGAAACCCTGTCTCTACTAAAACTAGAAAAATTAGCTGGGTGTGGTGGCTTGTGCCTGTAATCCCAGCTACTCAGGAGGCTGAGGCAGAATTGCTTGAACCAAGGAGGTGAAGGATGCAGTGGGCTGAGAACATGCCACTGCACTCCAGCCTGGGCAATAGAGCAAGACTCCATCTCAAAAAAAAACAAAACAAAACTGATGAAAGGTCACATACAGCAAGCACTCACTGCCCTGTAACTACATGAAAGGCCTTCCACCCTGCCTGAACCAGATAGGAGGCCCAAGTGGCTTGGCCTCATCTTCAGGGACCCCACCAGGCAAGAGTCAGAAGACAACCTCCTGAGAAGTGAGCTCTGACTGGTGCCTTCCTCAAACCCAAGTATGCTTTTAAGGCTGGGACTCCCACAGAAAGAAGGCAGACTAAGACAAGAGTAGCCCCAGCCTCTCACAATCACCAGCCAGGCAGATTCCTGAGGCACTCTCAGGAAGGACACAGGGTGAATGTGTGAAGAGGCATACGTGGGTACAGAAGGAACACGTCCGGCCCAGAGACCTGCCCTCACTCCCCAGCCAAAGCTAGGGAGCCAGTTGCAGTTCCCCAGGTTCTGCAGGGCAACTCAAGGTGCCTCCAGGGGTATCTGCAATGTTTTCATCTGGAGAGTCATGGAATGAAAAGAATAATTTTGCTCCCTCTACCCTCTACCACCCACCCATGCCCTACTCAAAGCTCAGTGTGTGGTCTCCTGGGATGCCCTCCCTGCTTCACGGGTACAAACAGATGACCACCTCCACCCACCTCTGGGACCCCACACTCAGGGGTATTCAACACACAGGAGCTTGACAAGTGACTTACACCTGGCCTCTGTTTCCACATCAGGCACTCCTAAAGAGAGGTGCTTGTTCTCTTCACTTGGATTCCCTAGTGACGGGCAGGTAGCAAGCACTCACGGACACTTTCTCAGTTGCTGCTGGCCAATTGGCAGAATATGTGAACAGATAGGCAAGGAAAAAGGAGTGGGGACATCAGTCACCTCCATCACCCAGGTAGGAGATGCTGGGTCTGGAACCAGAGTCACCTCAAAGAAGCCAGGCATAATAGGGTCTCACCTCTGAGCCCTGTGACCTCATCTGCACAACTGGGATCCAGGAATCAGAAAATGATGACCTTCTACCTCTCTACAGGTACATACAAGTTTTCTAAAGAAGTTAATCACAAGAACCCACAAACCCATTGGCTCTGACCTCCAAGAGCCTATATGATACCCTCCTCCAGAGGTACCCCTTTTCCTGGCTTCTGTTCTTACCAAGCCCACCCCACAACCAGTCATCCCGCTGTCAAGAGAGCAGCCAAAAGCAGTGAGCAACCAGGTCTACTTGGGAAGCCCAGAGAAGCATCACTGAATCTGTCCAGGTTGAGAGTGGATCAGGGCCTTGGCCACCAGGTAGACACTAGGGAGGAGGCAGACATTCCATACAGATGACACAAGTGCAGAGCCAAGAGGTACGGTGTATCTGGGCTGGGAGCCTGGCTAGGGCACAGAACAGGACCACACACCCCGGGCTCCCACACCTAGGCTTGATAATGCTCACAGAAGATGGCCCCGGCAGTTCTGCCTTCACGGGACCTTTCCTCCATTAAGAAATACTGAAGATCATGCTTTTTCACTGCATTAGTATAAAGATGACTGTATTAATATAAATATACATATGAATACATTTTCTTTGACCTAAAAGTTCATTTTTTTCTGCTGACTTAAAAAACAAATAAAGTAATATTTGCAGGCCACTAAAAGTACCCTGGGCCAGTGATATCAGGATTCCTCTGCCTGATGGATACATTGGCCCTGCATTAAAAAGTTTGATTTTTTGGTGCAGTTCAAGGGAAGGAGAGGTACACTGAAATAGGTAGAAAACGGTCTCCTGGTTGCCACGGTTCTGAGTCCCCACCACAGACTTAAGAACACACTAGCTCCGAGGGGAGTTCCAGAGCATGGACTTTTTCATCACATACACTCAGCACCCTAAGGGCCGGGCACAGTGACGGGGTCTCTGCTCCTAGGACGCTCGCGCAGGCCACACGACGCTAGGCGGACTCCTGGTGCCTCCTCTGGACCGGGTGTGAGCTGAGGACTTCCGTGCAACGCCTCACTGAATGACAGTCAGCCACAGCCACCGCTGTCCAGCCAAGGAGTTTCCAGGACTGAGAGGCTGGCACTAGGCCACTGCTGGGAGGACGTCTGTGAAACCAGGTGCCCCCGAGAGCCGCTGTCCCCAGCCCGACTCAGACGCTGGGCTGGCGGGAGAGCGCGCCCGAGACGCAGCTCCTGGCTGCCGCAGCTTCTGGGAAGGGCCCAGAGGCAACATCCTGGACAGCAGCGCTGCACAAAGTCCGAGGCGCCGCGAGCCCAGGTAAGCTCCAGTAGACGCCCGAAACGGGTGCCAGGCGGCCCGTGAGCCAGGCCCCGCCCGCCCCTGTCCCAGGCACGGCCCCTATAGGAGAGCGCCGCGGGTGAAAGGAGCGCCCCCGGACCCGTTCGCCGCCCCGCCCCCACACCGCCCCCATCGCGCGGCGCACCTGGCCGCAGCGGCTCGGTGACAGTGAGCACGAGCAGGAAGAGCAGGAGGAAGGCGCCGCTGTCTGCCTTGGGCACCATTTATCCTCCGTTCATCGTCCCCGGGGCGGCTGCTTGACCCCGCTGGGAGGCCGGACCCGGCCGGACTGAGGGTCAGGGGACCGTGCTAGGCGGAGGGTCAGGCGGGGCTGAACCGGGGGGAGGCGCAGAAAGGCGGCGGGAAAGAGCTTCGGCTGGGCCGCGGGCCAGCGGGCACTCTCGTCCGCAGCCTCAGGTTCCGACACCTTCTCCGCGCAAGATGGCGGCCGTCCTGCTCGGCTCCGCGCCGCGCCGCTCCGCCTCCCGCCCCGACGCCGGCGAGGACCAATGAGCGTCAAGACGGGGGGCGGATCCGGAGCCACAGGGCCCAAAGGGGGCGAGGCCTACGGTCACGACGGCGGAGGGCGGGGACCGAGGGACGGGCGCGGAGGGGAGGGCGGGGCTATACGGAGTGAGGCGCGCCATTGGCTAAGCGGAGAGGCAGGGCCGGGGCAGGGGCCGGAGCGGCTGGGCCTTCGAAGGGAGTCGGGTCCCGCCCTGGACGCAGGGCGGGGACGGCGGGCTCAGGACCACAAGGACCGACAGTGAAAAGTGCAGGGCATGGGGGGTGGGGTGGGGCCCCCTGGGTCGGGAGCCGGGAGGACGCAGCGGGAACCTGTCTAGGACTCCCAAGGGTCTTCACACCTGCAAGCCCAGGTGTGAGCAGCCCAAAGGTGCGCCCTAAAGGGTCTTTGAAAGGCCGAACCGCTGTGGAGGAAGGAGGACCTGCCGGTTCTGAGGGTGGGAAAGAGGGTCACCCTGTAAGGAACAGGAGTGGCCTAAAGGGGTGTCAGGCAAAGAGAGCTAACCGCGAAGGCCAGGTCCTGGAGACCGCAGGGAAGCCTCCTCCCTGGAGGACCTGCCTACACAATGGCGAGGGGAAGGCCGCATATGCAGAAAGGAAAGTTGGGCAGAGAGGAGGCTCAGCCCCCCCAGTGAAAAGTGCTCCAAGTGCCGCCTCTCACCTGTCATCACCAACAGGGTGAACCTTGGAGCACAGTGTCAGTGAAAAGAGTCCTACTTTGTAAAATAGTTGAAGACATTTCTTCTGAGCCAATATGTAGCCAATAGCCTGGGCCACAGCCCAGTAGACAAGTGCCCAAGGGGGTAGGGCTACAGCTTGGTTTTATACATTTCAGGGAGGCACAAGACATCAGTCAGCACATGTAAGGTATACATTGATTCAGTCGGAAAAGGCAGGACAACTTAAAAGTGTGAGGTGGAGGGGGCTTCCAGGTCATGTGGATTCAAAGATTTTCTGATTGGCAGTTGGTTCAAATAATTTATCTAAAGACCTGGAACGTCCAGGTTCTGGATTAAGGTGGTTATGGAGACCAAGCTTGTTAGGCAGATGAAGCTTCTAGGTATCAGGCTTCAGAGAGAACAGGCTATTAAAGAACACATGAACACAAGGAGGGGAACATCACACACTGGGGCCAGTCCAGGGGGTGGAGGGCTAGGGGAGGGACAGCATTAGGAGAAATACCTAATGTAGATGATGGGGGGATAGATGCAGCAGACCACCACGGCATGTATATATCTATGTAACAAACCTGCACATTCTGCACACGTACCCCAGAACTTAAAAACAAAAGTGCCAGACTCCTGGGCGCAGTGACTTACGCCTGTAATCCCAGCACTTTGGGAGGTCAGGAGTTCAAGATCAGCCTGGCCAACATGGTGAAACCAGGTCTCTACTAAAAATTCTAAGCCCCCAGCCATCTGAATGGACCCCTCCTCTCTACCAAGGGCATTCCAAAATTAACCTGAAAAACTAGCTCAGGCCATGATAGGAAGTGGGAGTCAGACAGGCCTCATTATCCTTCCTCCCTTAGGGTTTCAGGCATAGCTAAGCAGTGGTAACATCGACAGAGACCTGAAGACTGACAACAGACTATGGTGGTAAGATACCAGCATGACAGCAGACCTGGAAAGAAACAAATATTTTACAGTATAACAGATTTAAATTAAAAAATTAGCCGGGAATGGTGGTGCATGCCTGTAATCCCAGCTACTCAGGAGGCTGAGGCAGGAGAATCACCTAAACCCGGGAGTTGGAAGTTGCAGTGAGCCAAGATCACGCCACTGCACTCCAGCATGGGCAACAGAGCAAGGCTCTGTCTCAAATTTAAAAAAAAAGAAAGAAAAATAAATAAAAAGTCATACTTTAGTTCATTCTCTCAGGAGCCTTGAAAGGGAAGGGGATTCTCTACAGAACGTAGATTTTCTCCAAAAGAAACAGCTTTGCAGAGCCACTTCAAAATATGTGAAAGAAATCTGTTTTACAGTAAAATATTTGTTTCTTTCCAGGCCTGCTGTTATGCTGGTATCTTACTACCATAGTCTGTTGTCAGTCTTCAGGTCTCTGTGTCGATGTTACCACTGCTTAGCTATGCCTGAACCCCTAGGGAGGAGGGATAATGGGGCCTGTCTGACTCCCACTTCCTATCACGGCCTGAACTAGTTCTTCAGGTTAATTTTGGAATGCCCTTGGCAGAGAGGAGGGGGGCATTCAGATGGCTGGGGGCTTACAGTTTTATTTTTGGTTTCAAGGAGACAGCAGTTGGGGTGTCCCCAGCAGGAAGGAGGAGGAGGCTGTCCGGAAGAAGGAGCACCAAGAACACAAAAAAGCCTAGCAGGGGGTGGTCAGGATTGGGGAAGAAAGGGAAGGAGCAGAGAAAAGGGCAAAAGGCCATGGCAGGTGGGGAACCCAACCCAGCCTGAGCAACATCCAGGCCACCCTACCAACTCACTCCTGAGGGGCCCAGGGTTCCACTTGGCTCCTGTGAGGAAGGGGTGCTCACTCTAAGTGAATGAGGCCAAAGTCAAATCCAAGGCTAGGATAGTCGTGTGACTCCTACTTCCCCAGAGCATGGCCCGGAAGAGGTACTAGACACAGAGCCTCTCACAGCAGAGGGGCTCCACTGCAAGCAGAAACAATGAGCACTGACCAGTGCTGCCCCTGCTGCTTGTCCTGTCCTCAGAACAGCCACTGGCACTCAGGGTGGCATCTAAGTGCCACCTTCGGTGCCCAACCACAGATCTGCCCTGGAGCCCAGCCAGGGCCATGGGCTAGGCAGGTCCCCAGGAGGGAACTCATAGCCAAGAGCAGAACTCCTGCTGCTGTCCTCCCACAGAGCTGCTGTAAGAAGCCACCAAAGGTTCAGGTGAGGCAAGAGAAGTACAAGGAGAGGGCAGGATCCAGGCTTCTCAAACTCTGGTGCCAGGAGGCTCTCTACCCTCTTGACATACCACCCTTCTTGAGCCTGCTCTGCAACCCTGAGGGCTGCCTGTGGGGGCAGTGTCAAAGGCTGAAGGGAAGAAAAACAGGTTAGGGATGGGACGTCCTCCCACCCCTGTGTGGTCAGTAAAGTTGGCTCTCTCCACCAAAGGGCGCTACCTCTCTCAAGATGGTCCTGTCTATATGACTCTTTCCGGGTTCCAGGGACCATTCCCACCCTTTTCCATGCAAGCCAGGGGTTTGCTAATAACTTGGGGTGCCTGTGCTACCTTCAGGGTTCCCTGCACTCTGCTCCCACCTTTGTTAATTGCCCCCCCTCTTTTTTTCTAAGACGGTGTCTCACTCTGTCACCCAGGCTAGAATGCAGGGGTGCGATCTCGGCTTACTTCTCTGCCTCCTGGTTTCAAGGAGTTCTCCTACCTCAGCCTCCTAAGTAGCCGGAAGTACAGGTGCACGTCACCATGCCTAGCTAATTTTCGTATTTTTAGTAGAGAGTGGGTATCACCATGTTGGACAGGTTGGTCTTGAACTTCTGACCTCGTGATCTGCTCACCTCAGCCTCCCAAAGTGCTGGGATTACAGGCGTGAGCTATAGCACCAGGCTGCTTTTTCTTTTCTTTTCTTTTTTGAGATGGAGTCTCGTTGTTGTTGCTCAGGGTCGAGTACAATGGCACAATCTTGACTCATTGCAACCTCCCCCTCCTGGGTGGGGTTCAAGCAATTCTCCTGCCTCAGCCTCCTGAGTAGCTGGGATTACAGGTGCCCATCACCACGCCTGGCTAATTTCTGTACTTTTAGTGGAGATGGGGTTTTACCATTTTGGCCAGGCTTGTTTCAAACTCCTGACCTCAGGTGATCTGCCCACCTCAACCTCCCAAATTATCCCCTAATTAAACCCTTCCTCAGATGCCCTGGTTTGCAAGAATTGGCCTCAACTCTACACAAGCAGTCCTGGCTCTGGGGTTGGAAGCATTGGCAGACCCATGTGTCCCCCATAGCCCCCTCCTACCTCAGGTCCCAGCCAGGTGCAAGGCCACTCTCTGCTTGTCCTGTCTCCTCCAGCTCACTGGCTGGCCTTCCAGAGTTCCAAGTCCAAGTGCCTCAGGCCAGAGCCTCATTTTCCCAGGGCACTCTACCTTTGTGACTTCACCCACTGAAGTCACCTGGGAGAAAGTGCTGAATGTCCCAACCCAGAGTCTTGGCCACAAGGAGGCAGAGACAGCAGGCCTGGCCAGCCCAAAGGACTCTCTATCCAGGGTGTAAGTGAATACACCACTGGCCCAGGTCCCACAGGGATGTAGAGCGCAGCCTTGGAGACACTAGGTACTCCCGACACCATGTATGACACTGCTGTCCTCAAGCAATGAGGCTGTACCATGGGGATGCTTGTGGGAGAGGGCTTGTACACAAAAGTTAAATTCGTTTACTCTGAGCACCTGAACTTCTATGTGGTGGTCAAGGTCATCAATTGCAAGAAAGCCCCCAAAAGACATCTTGGAGAAATTCCTTCCCCGGGAAATGGAGATTCTGGCCATGCTAAACCACGGCTCCATACTCAAGACCTACAAGGTATTTGAGACATCATATGGCAAGGTCTACATCGTCATGGAGCTCGCAGTCCAGGGCAACCTCCTAGAGTTCATTGAGTGCCAGGGAGCCCTGCCCAAGGACATGGCATGCAAGATGCTCCAGCAGCTCTCCTCAGCCATCAAGTACTGCCATGAGCTGGACATCATGCACCAGAACCTCAAGTGTGAGAACCTTTTCCTCAACAAGGACTTGAACATCAAGCTGTCCAACTTCAGGTTCTCCATGTGGGACGAGAGTGGCCAACAGACATGAAGCAAGACCTTCTGCATGTCGGCGGGGTGTGTGACCCCCGAGGTGCTGCAGGGCATCCCCTACCAGCCCAAGGTGTGCAACATCTGGATCCTGGGCGTGATCCTGTACATCATGGTCTGTGGCACCATGCCTTATGACAACTTTGACATCAGGTACATGCTGCGTATCCAGAAGGAGCACCGTGTGGACTTCCTGCACTCCAAAAACCTGACCTGTGAGTGCA